ATAGTGATGCCAGGAACTCTACTTTCCGTGACCATTCAGTGAGGTCCGTCTCACCAGGCTTGAAAGATGGAGCCTGGCTCCATGGGAGATTGCTCAAAACTTCTGTAGAGGAACTGGAGCCAGCTGAATCACCTTCCGGTGGCATTGGGCTGTTTCCTCCCTGGAAACCGCAGCTCAACAACTCTGTGACAACACCACCAAGACAATGTGCAACCTGTCGACTGCCTTGCGGCCAAACAACGTATTCACCGACTCAACCACGCAGTCAACAACAGCCAAGCACAAGGGTCAGGTGTTGTCTGGAGCTTTAGCGGTAGCTCCGCTACCAATGTGATTGACACAAAGGTAGCAACAAAAGATCCTCCTTCCCTCGCACAGCCGCGTGCGTTTTCCACTCACAGCTCACCTGAAGGTTGGTACGAACGGTCGGGCGCCTCGCCCTGCAGTGTCCTCACTGCTTCTATGGCTCAGGTCACGGGTGACCCACCCTACACCACCCTTGCGGCCTCGCACACTCGTGGCTTCGGACGTGAACACACCTGAGTGGGTCAAGACTGGTTCCTCAGTGACCGAAAGGTTCGAAATTCACAACAATTATACACACACACACACTATCACACACTATATTTTTCCTACGCTAGAGCCGTTGTTCTTCGAATCATTTGAGCCCTCTGCATCCTCTGCAAAGTTTGGAACAATCGAAAAAAACAAATCGTAACGCTGCATGAGTTCCGTATTTCAGACCCACCACTACTGTTTATTTGGTCAGGCAGATTGTTGTGCCTTCTGACGACCTAGAACCCTGAAGTGACCACAGGACCATGAAAGAATGTTTGCAACACATAATCAAAAACTTAGGCGAGGGTGTGCAATATTTGGTGTGGATATGCGATGGGGATCGATGGGGTGACCTTTACAAAGTCGGTCGGTCGTGGCCCAGTGCTTTGGCCAAAGTTGCAGATTTTGTGGCGAACGCTGAAGGCACCAGCATCACTGCCCCACCGGGCTCCACAGGACGAAAGGATGCTTGCAATATTTTGCAATCGGAAAGACTCGGGCGAGTGCGCGGGTTTATTTTGTGTGAGCGATGAGTGCCTGGGTGACGCCTCCCCCCCAGAGCGAACCACACATCCAACGCCATCAGACTCAAAACTACACACCATCTAAAACAGATCACCATCTAAAACTACACACCCCATTGCCTTATCAATGAAGGGCACTCAATCTTTGTGGTCATGCGCCGCTCATGTGCATAACCAATCATCCAAGATGCTCAGAGCCGATACTCTTCTGTAGTAAGCGATGTGCCTCGCCACGTCTCTCCGAACTGAACAGACTCAATAAACACTATATACGCCAAACTGATGAACCAGAAATCCAGCAGTGGAAGATCCGCTGGTGGCCTGATCCATTCTTTCGATCTTGCTATATAATTTTTTTGACAGGGGCTTTATGTACTTATATACTTACGCTATTTAGAGCCTTGCCTTGTCTAGCAGGAAATCAGGGGAAATCAAGACAAGGGATTAGGCTTCCAGCTATCTACCCATTTCGGTTTTCACATTAGCAACAAAAACCTCTTGTGATATCCGAAACCGTCTGTTCGTCTTTCACGTCAAGAGTCTGAGGTGTGGATTTTGCAGGCCTGGTCCACACACTCGATCTTCTCGTGGGGCCTTCGGTTGCTCAAACTGTCGCAGCTACAGGATCCACGGGGTGAAACACTGGAAAACTGGAAAAAGGGACAGCGAAGTCGTTGGTATCAGGGATTAAATGGCAAAGAATGGCGAACGCTTGCAGAAAAGCCTTCCACAGGATGTTTTTGATATTTACATGGAGGGACCTCAACGGCACCAGGAAAGAGAACAAGTAGATCGACACCATTAGTTTGGGAATCGAGACTTTAAAGAACCATGTGGGCGCGTTTTGGAAGCCCTGGGGCATTTGTTCACAACGAGGAAGTCGTACTTGAGGGCAACTACTAATGGTGATTGAATTTGTCAGGGGAAACAGGACACCAAGCAATTTCAGAACTGGAACCAAGCAGGTCTCCGACAAGGGATGAGGTCTTGAGCCCCGATGAATCAGAAGCCGAAAATCGCCTAAACACAGTTCTCGTTGGTTGCTGACAGTGTTTGCCAGGTCTTCCGAACGCAATCTTCCCGTCCAGGAGCTCAAGCTGTTCTGCTGGCGCCGAGACGTCCTCAGGACTGTGAGCGCGTTGAGTGGAAGAATCTTTGGAAAATCTTAGTGGATTTCTATCGAACTGGGCAGTTCTCATCTGAGGGCAGCTCCACAAGGATTAATCGATCACCTCCAGGCACGACCTGTCCGCCGTTCTCTACGAAATGAAGGAGATATTGATTCTCCTCTCAGGAATCACAATTCTTATCGGGCGAGTGCAACGAAAAACTCCATGGACCGTGGCGGTTCAAACCTGATTCGTGAAAGAATGGAAACACTGATCCGTGATGGACTAGCTGATTGGATGGACTTGGGTTTCTTATTCCTTTGAAAGAACAAACCAATACAATTGGAGAGTTATATAGACTGATAGCTGAAGAGATTTTGTGGAGAAAATCAACCACCACCTGAAGCAGGTGGATCCAAAAATATCAAAAAATCAACATACGAAAGCTCTTCAAAGCCTTCAGAAGCTCTTCCACGGAGCCGTAGAACCTTTGTAGACGAGCAAAAGCGGAAAACTCCTCAAAACTTAGAAGAAATGTACAAAACTCCCGAATACGAACCACATTTAAAGGATGTTAAAGGAGCCCAAGCACCTTCTTTTGTTCATCTCTTGCCAAGGACAACTGAGAGAGGCTGCAGTTCAGTCCTGAACTTGACATGTCGAGGTTTTGACATGTGTTGGATCAAAAATTCATCTACCCTTGGCAAAGAAAACCAATCGGTTCTCGACGAGGATGCGGCTTCACTGCTGTTTGGAGCTTCTCCTCAGCCAGGCCAGTTCGTGGTACTTACCTATTTTTGGCCGTAGGCAAAGGAGGAACCTAGGCAGCACCAAGATTGGTAGTTCATAGGAAAGATACTGTACAACGCCGGCATTAGTTGAACAGAACATAATTTAGGTGTGAGGATCAACCACACCGCCCAAACCATGCGGTAGCTGAATCTCCGCATGAACCAAGGAAGTGAGTAACAAAGATTTGTTTAAGTTGCAAGTTCATTGCCGCAAAATGAACATGGGAGTCCTGGGCTTCGGCACAGCTCCCGAGTGCTGATTTGAACACTTATCAGGTTGTCAGGTAAAGGTCCGAAGCCTTCCCAGGCAAAGGGAAGTGGACAGACATCTGTTCGGACTTGGAGTCTTTCTCACGACTGCGACGCATCTTGACCGGTCGGAAAGAAACCAAAACGAAACGAAGGTCCAAAGGTCTGAAACTGAAGGGAAGGTCCAAACATAATCATAAACAAGAACGAAAAATAGCAATGGCCTCCAACCTAAAAGCGATGGCCTCCACCCCACGGTCGGGTGTGTTAAGAAACGTTATAGAACAAGAAACTAGACTTTAATTTTGAGGGGAATATATTACTTGAGACTCCATTTTCGCAAAACTGCGAATTTTCATAAATCTTGATAGACAATATAAACATATATATATAAACTAAATTAGTACCAAACTGTACATAGCCGTACTTGCTCTTATTCCTTCTCCTCCTCCTCCTGCTTCTGTTGCCGGCGTGAATGGACAAAATCAGAAAATTGCATGCGGCATATTTCTCTGATCATGTGTTGGTACGCCTGTCAAAGATCGATTTCTTTTCCACGTGCTTTGGATAAGGCCACCACAGAGGTCGGAAACTGATTGAATTGAAAACAGGTTTGACATAGGCACGGGCCCTTTCCCAGCATCATCACCAGCCAAACCACTGTGGGGCCTCATGCTCAGCTCACTGGGGAAAAACGAGCAATGAAAGATGCGCCAGGGATTTAGCTGCTGGTTCTGTGCCTGTGGGATTCAGTTGCTGTGGTTGGTTCTGGGCCTGTCTCTTTGTGATTTTAGTTGCTGTGTTGGCTCTGGGCCTGCCACTTTGCACCGGGTGCGACCCGGGATCGAGCTGGTGTGGTTGGTGCTGCGCCTTCCAGTGCCAAACAAATACAAGCGCCGGCACACTATAGAACTTACAGCCCGCAAGGGCGCAGCAGCCTCTGGGAAGTCTTCTGCAAGCGCATCTCCGGCTCTTACAGGGCAGAATCTCCAACAAAATGCGAAGAACTTCAACTTCCGCCAAGCCCCCCCACGTCTGCTGCGACGTGAAGCGTTCTAATGGTTGTGCGTTTCTGTCATGGAAAACGGGCCCCGCAAAGGGACAGGTTTGAAATAGAGCTAAGACCCCTCATTCAGAGATTGCCCTCTCCCAGATTAAGAAACCCAACGCTGGAGTCTACGTGGCCTCAGATTTCTTGTTCAAAACACTTGGAACCAAGAAATATTCCAGGCTCTATCGACAAAATAGGGATTTCTTATCACAAGCCTCAGCCGTAGCAGCGATGGCCTCCACCTAGTCGCGATGGCCTCCACGCTAGTAGCGATGGCCTCCAACCTAAGAGCGATAGAGGAAAAGAGTAGGAAGCAAGACTGACATCTATATACAGTCCAAATACATTCGGCCCTTTTTTGAAGAGTCCTTCAAGAACCCGAACCTAACTTTTCATGTAGCTGATATCGAAAAGAATCTGCAACAGCCTTTTAGTGAGGTCGTTTTCGATCATCGATATACTGTATATACTGTATAAAAGAATTCATGCTTCTCCCGAAAGCTCAGTGAAGCAATGTGAAGCATGGGCCACGCAGTCCTCTTGGGTGGTCAGGAGACTCTGCAAGTGTGGGAAGACAAAGGAGTGGAGCCTAATGCCGGTGACATCTGCGGCAGGAGCAAACCAGGAAACTACTTTGCCCAGTAGGGTTGGTCTTTGGCATTTTTCATCCCTCTTTTCTAGCGAGGAGGATAGTGATAGTGAACAAGATCACCTTCCTGTCGTTTTGGGTGCAGTCAAAAAAAATCTTGGGACCACTGGTCATGGTAGAAACAACATGAATGGCATCAAGTAAGGCAAATCTATGGGGTTGGGGGGTTCTTGGTAGATCCTACCGGATGGTCTTCTGATTCCAAGCTCTTTCCTAGAGAACAAAGTGGAGATCATTGTACCAGATTTGCTTGCTAACAATGTCCTGCAAGCAGCGCCAAACTCACCAAATAAAGTCTTTTTTGACTTTCGAGCTTTCTGCGGTCTTTGACCGCAAGCTGTTCCCAAAGACATTGACAAAAGAAACACATCCAAGCTAAGCTGTGTCCAAAATGTTTCAAACACTACTTCGATCCCTTATGGCCATCTTTGGCCCGTCCTGTCCCTCCGTCCACGTCCCTCTGGTCCCTCGAGTTGGCGTCAAAACTGGGTGTGCGGGCGCGGTGTAGGCTTGTCGGCTCACCTTGCGACGACATGTTCCGACAATTTCATCTCGTTTCAATTTCCAGACTGATTTGTTCTACACAAGTCCGAACAAGAAAGTGAATAGGTCACATTTCAAGAATATGACCACGTTCCTAGCTTGTGGTCCTTGAACCCTCCTACAGAGCAAACAATCGAACAAGATTAACAAAAACTATTTACAGTACCAAAATTGTCCAAGACTCTGTTTGCGGGACTCCATGACAAACAGCGGAACCACGGAGCATCAGGGGGTCCTAAGATGTCCTAAGCCTTCACTGGAACTTCCCGCGAAGAGCAAAGGAAGCGAGTCGATCTTCAAGCTTGGTCTGAGTCCGTCAAGTGGCAAAACCTGTGAGAGATGTGCTGTCGTCAACACATTCCTCTGTATCTTCTTGAATTTCACAGCCATTCTTCCCGATTCTTCCCTAATGATTGTGGGATGCTTCAATCCGGGTTTCAGAACAGGAAAAATCAAGCGACATGTGGCGTGACTCAAATTTCATCTTGTGAACGTCTGGGATGAACGTGCTACAAGGCCCTGCCGCTGTGAAAAATATTGCCAGCTGGCTACGGCCCCCAATGTTGAACGCATGATGCCGTGGCCCGTTCTGGGCTTTTCTGGCGGCGAACTCCAGCTGCGCTGCCCGGGTGGCGTTGAGCTGATGCTGCCTCAGCCGCTTTAGCCGCGTGAAGAGAAGGCAAGGGCTGCCTTAATCAGGTCCCTTAAAAGGGGGCTCGGATTTATAATTTAGGACTTCTAGAAAAGAGCATTGTTACTTGTTAAAGGGGCCCTTACGTTCTTTTCTTCCATGCCACAGAGCTGTTTGAGAGACCAAACGACCGAGGATTGCACTCCCAACATCCTCACGGAAGTTGGCTTTCCGAACAAGTGATCTGGTATACAATATAGTTAATATGTATTTAAGCAGCCATTTGTGACTGAAGATGCCTGAGGTTATTCCCCAACGTGGCATTTGGTTTCAGATCACCTTCAGCTATATCTGGTTACCATACCTGGTTACCATGCTTGGTTACCCCTCACAACGCCAGTTGGCGAAAATCATGAGGGCACAAAAGCCCTTAGACGTTGGCTGAACGAATCAGCAAAACTCAACACCTGCGAAAGAACAACAAATTACACCATGATGATTATGATAACATTGCCTGGCTCACGCATGTATGACCCGACAAACCACCGGGTAGCATCACTGGCCTACTAAGCTTGTCCACAGCATCAGTGACGATCTCACGAATCCTTCAGCTTTCAGTCAGCTTGGAACGATGCCCTTTGCTCCTAGTAGCGTCCTTGCTCCTAGTAGCGATGATAGCTAGTGTCCTTGCTCCTAGTAGCATGTGGTCTTGTCGGTCAAAAGTCAACAGACCAAGTGGCCCCCTGGGCGATAGTCTTCAAGAGGGCAAAGGCTCACAACCTGAAACATGACCCCCCTAGAGAGCGCTAGCGAGGATACTGTAGTTCAACCAGGTTACTTATTGGAATGTTCTTCAACGATTTGAGATTGCCTCATAGAAGTGGAGGCTTGGAATGCAAAGAAATTCTGTGTTTGGAATTTATAGATCTATGTTTGGTGTATGTCGCAACAAAATTCCGATGAACCTGGCCCGAAGGTAACTGTCGCCATGTCGAATAGATAGATTTCCTTCGACCGGAAAGGACGTCACATTAGGTCACGAACCTAGGTCTGCTTGTGGTGTGCACACAAACACACATCTTCCTACTTAGAAAAAGGGTCACCACCAAGCATCTGCCTGATGGATCAGGTGCTCATCTTCCAAAGTTCATTACAGCTTCCCAGATTGGTTTTGAGATTTTTGAGGAGGTTCTGTCGAAGGAACATTTCCTACACCTCCTCAGAGCTCAAGGATTTTCGGGGACCATTTCCTTCCATCAACATGGTCACATGATAGGTACTGTTAACCGTAGGAGTCCTATGGTCACGTTTGTTCTTTCCACTGCCCTCTCCGAGACCTCTCCTTTCAGCTGTTCGGTTCTCACAGCCCGGCACCTGCGCTTGCGGACCCACTGTGCCACAGTGCGAGTTGCAAAGTCATTCCATGGTGTTTCAAAGCTTCACCAAACCAAGGTCAGTAAAGAGACCAAGTAAATCGAACAACCAAAAGGGCACATATCTACATCCATATCAATATATGTATATATATATATACATACATACGGCATAATACATATGTATTCAGTCACTGCACCCTTTCCCACTCTGGTTGAACATGGGGAGAACTTGTGGTCCAGCCGAAAACGTCACAAGACAATTCACATCGGCGGTGATCATCTGCATCAATTGTTCATCATTGTTGCTTGACTATGTTTGACTGCTTGAGACCTCTGGAAAAGTCAGTCTGAGAACATTCACCGAGGCATTCTTGACCTGTCATGTGTTCCACAGAGAAAACACACTCAGAAATGTTTTGCACAAGGCCTTCCCGATGTGAACAGGCATATTGCCAAACACAAACCCTAGAATCCCTAGAAGTGCAAAACAGACTTGTTGGATCTGGTTGGAACATGAACATTTGCAGCACAGGCCGAGAGACGGACATACGAGAAGTCTTTGATACACGATATCGATTAGATGATTTCCAAGACAGGAAACATAAGCATTTCTTTGGAATGCTGGCGTTCTGTTTTTGATATTACCTTACTTGTTGGCAAACCAGGAACGCTTGCTTCAAGACTCAAAAGGATTCATAGCTGCAACAACGCCTGTACGAAGGTCTTCCGAAAGCGATCCACCTAGCGGTCAGAGTGGTGTGGAGATTGGAAAATGAGTCATTTCTCGAATCTGGCAAAAGCTCCGAGTGTTCCTCTCTTGTGGAAATCATGAACTGATTGGTACGTCGTCATAAACTGAATAGTTCCTAGAGTCCAAAGGTCTCCTCATGAAGGATTGATGCTAATTTCTCTCATTTCCTCTGTTGCCAGCGTGGAAAGGGTGGGCATCCATGCCTGTCATGCAAGGTCCTCCATGAAAATGCTGCGTGAGGAAAGGCCGACATATACCAAGGAAGACGAAGAAAAAGAAGACGAAAACGAAGGAATCACGGCGGAACAAAAAACAAAAAGGACAATAACCTAATATAGCGATGGCCTCCAACCTAATAGCAATGCTCTTTTTTCATCTAAATTTAACGCTTGGGTGCACAGAAGGATACAAAGGGTATGCTACGTTGGAATGGTTCCTTTTGTCGTCTCAATTTAGGTCTGCTACATTGGCATGGCTCCTTTCTGCTCTAAATTCTACCCTCGGGTGGCTCGAAACATAGCGATGGCCTCCGCCTAATAAGGCTACTAAGTGGATTTATTCTTTCTGGCCCTCCTTGCACAACTTGACTCTTGCTTCCTAAACGTCCTCCATGACAAGCTGTGTCAAAGGAGAGTAAGGGGAGCGTAGGGGAGCAAGAGGACGCGCTATCCAAGACTGTGACCATGTGTGACCCACCCCAAGCACCGCAAGAACTCCGCCCATCTCCTAACCGGTGGCTTTCACCTGCCTCGTCAAAGAACTCCCCCTGGATCGCCGGCGAGTGAAGCAACAAATCGTCCTTAGGCAAGACTTTCAGGTCTGGTGAGACGCACCCAATCAAATTGGGAAGAAGCAAAAACAGAGGAAACAAATGGCTTCCAAACACCTTTCTAATCCATGGGGAGCCATGTGGCACAATGCGTCAAACCTGGGGGCTCTGTTCACCGAAACAAAGAAAACCAGTAGACTAGACTTGGGTGCCAGTTTTAGGAAGGGTTCTTTATTCTATTCAAGGGAGTTGGTGTTCTAAGACTTGGTTTACAAAATTTGGACTTGGGAGACTGAGAATCGACCCTATGTATCCAGAGGATCCGGTTCTTCAAGCAAAGATTCCTGTTGTCAAAAAACGATTCATCCTTGGACATCACAGAGCGGGCAAAGAAAACCGCTTCACTTGAGCCCACACTTGTCTCAGGTCTTGGACACAAAGTCTGACGAATTACATTGAGGCAATCGGACTGTACAAAAAGGTTGGCTTCAGTCCGACCTCTGTTGCCCTGTAGAGCTTGAAAATACTGTGAAGGTTTGTGGGCAACGAGTAGCGTTCTGGAAAATGAGCAGTGAGTGAACTAAATTGTGAGGTGTGAAAGAGGACAACATGGATATGGCGATAGACTGCAGGATGGCAGCTTCCAAGCCTCTTTGCCTCTATTTAGGTGATTGTGCGCGCACACCTTAAGCCTCTTTTCATGTGATTGAGGCTTAGACACTTAGGTGCTGCATTGAGGCTTCTGTGCTTAGGCGCTGGATGGCGGCTTAGGCTCTCACAATCTGGTTGCGCGTGCGTTCGTTTGTCGTGCGTCTTTGCGTGGTCATTGTGTCTTACTTTTTGGGTTGTGACGCAGCAGGGCTGGATTGAGGTTTGCACGCTTAGTGGATTGAAGCTTAGGCGCCCAGACGCTGGATGGTTCAAGCTCACAGTTGTGTTGTTGTTGAGCACGGTTTGTTTGGTAGTGAGACATCAGTGCTTCATTGAGGCAGGTGATGGATTGAGGCTGCTCAGAGGCTAGTGCCAAATAGCTGTTTCTTCAGGCTGGATTGAAGCTGACCGTGTGTGCAGGTGTGCATGTAGGTCTCCAAGATCAGGCGTGTAGCCACCTGCCACTTTATTTATCCCAAGACCTCTGGCTACAATCCAATGACACCAATCCAGTGGATGATGAGGCCTCGGGAGCAAACCTTCCAAGCATAGCCTCAATAAATTGGTTCATCTGCATCCCAACACAGGACGAATGCAGCACTTCGGGGGGGTCGACGAAACATGTCTGGGGCTCCAAACTAAGGATCCGCTCTCTGCCTCAGAATCCACATATCGCGAACACCTAGAAATTCAACACCTTGGCTTTGGCGAAGTTATCGTCATTCTCTCCTGCCAATTTCGAAGTACTTTGATCTGCATGATTCATAGTGCATTTATGGCAGTGAGTCACTTCCACTGGAGATCTTCAAGTTATCTACCGTTTCAGACCTTTCCAATCAGACTCGATTCCAAAAGCCATGGCTGCCGCCATCCGAAGTGACTCCATGGTCCATCGAACGCGAGAGCGACCAACGCCCAAGGTGCTCCGATCTTCTCAGCGGCCAGCGGGCGGAACCTGGTCCAAACACTTATTACTTTTTTTTTTCATTATTCGTCCGCTTTATGTGTCCTTGGACCCACTGTCTTGGACTCGACTCGCGGAAGTGAAAAATAAGGTTTCATTCGTCCTGAAGATAGGAGGGTCTTACAGCCATCCATCAAACAATCGAACCAATAGCAATAACAACAGTTAGAATACTGACTGATCTTATTAAAGGTTGTCATGACACACGGGATGGGGACTTTGCGTGGCAGGGCTGAGTGTACAACGCAGTCAGCGCCCCTCTCATCCTCTGGTGTTGGATTCTTTTCCGGAGATTCATTCGTTCAGGCGCTGTTTCTAAGTGACAGCTTGGGTTGACAGCTGGGGATTGTGGGGGATATGATTTTGAAGCGAAGTTGGATCGAGATGCAGAACCTCAGTCGGTTGTTGTTCATGTCTTGCCCTCCACCTCACCAATGCAGAAGTGGATGGCGCGGCACATCAAAAAACGGTTTGCCGGGCTTTGCACCGTTTCTAGTTTTTTTGGTTCATAGTTTCCCAAACATGAAATTCCCAGTATGCAGATCGTTCAATAAACAGGGTAAAGGTATTGCACTATGGCGCTCATGATCATTAAATAACTACATGTTAAAACCTCAAAGTCAACACCTTAACACCCCAACAAACATTTACAGTAAGTGTGTGGTGTACCTAGGTTCACTTCTCTTTAGTATCTGTCATGACCAACACGCTCTGGGTTATAAACATATAATATATTATAGGGGTCAACCTCGCACCCTCAACCCCTAGTAATTAAATGGAAACATAGTCAGGAATGGCTTCCACTGCCCGGCACCAGGCCTGCCGATCAATGGCTTGTCGATCACCAAGACTTTAAAGGTATTGCCTGAGCCGGTTCACATCACATGAAGTCGAGAAAAGACTTCTGACGGTCCACCTTGGAAAAGCTGACGATGGATTGTTCAAAGTGTTCTGTTATTCCACCACAACACCACGACATGGGTTCTGGTTTCCGACGTGCGCTTGCCGGGTTGAACGCATCGAAATTTCTGTGCCGTTTCCGCCGGCAACCTGTGTGTCTCATTGTCGTGTACACTGCTGGCAGTCAGGCAGAAAGTCTGCTGCGCGACGTACTTAGCTGGGCGTTCCAGAATGCAGTGCGCTGCCTCTCACTGGGCAAAGCACCGCCCTCGCCCCCAATCATCAGCTTGCACTTCCTGCACTTCCTCTCCGATGTAGGCTTTCTGGGCTGCTCGCCCTTTAGCTTTGCCACCAATGCTTCTGGTGAAAGAGGCCTGCGTAGGCTGCAGTGGTACGTTCTGCAAGCATTATGGAGCTGTGACAATGATGGAAATCATTGGAAATCCAGTGGTGGCTCTTCCGCCTGGCACGCGTCCCACGGAAATGGGAATAGCTCTACTGACTCCTCATAGCTCGCCTGCTTTCCCATCGCCCAGGCAGTGCCAATGTCCACGCTTCACCCACAGCGCTGAGGCTATGGAGCTCAGGTGTGTCCGTGCCCAACCTGCTGCCACATCACCTGCCCGCAATATTCAGATGTGTCTTCAATAGGGCTTGCAATGGCCCTGTGTGGCTTGCCAGTTCAGCGACGGTTTGACTGATGACAATTCTCCTGCCTGCGGTGCCCTCAAATGTGTATTTCTGCAGATTTGTGTATCTTGGGTTTCGCCATGCTTGGGGCAAGCGCCAGCTGTGACGCCCGAGTGCCTTGCGTTGTAAGCTCGGACTAGGCAGGTGAATCAGTGCGGTGCCAAGGGGGGGCATCAGTCCACCTCCTCACGACACGGTGTCACCAAACACCATCAGTACGGTGCGTCTCGCATATACATATATATATATAATATATGCATATAATATATGGCTCAAGGCCATCTCAGGTTCTCAAGCTGGCCCCCAAAAATCCAGCTACTGAATCCCAGCACGCGCCATTGTGGCCGTGGGGATCTAGAAGGTCACCTCAACTTGGTGCACAAGCTCTACGACAAGCAGAGGCAATATCTGGTGTGCAAATCCTGCCACCAGAGCTGGATATGGCAAAACCGGGTGATCACACACCCCGGTTTGACTTGCAAACACTGTGGGCACCCATGGCAAGAACGCAGCTTGGCTGATCTGAAGAGCCACAGGAGGATGACGCAGTGGGCCAAATGGAACTTCAGCAGCACAGGCCACCAATGGCCCCACAGATCCTACAAGCAGACATTTCTGGAGCCACCACCAGGCCTAGCAGGAGGACATCGACCCAAGAAGACCAAGGTCAAGCAGTCTGCCCTGCAAAGGGCGGTTCAAGAGCACTGGGAAGCCCTACCCCAGGCGCTGAAGACACAGTGTGAAGCCATTGGCTTGCAGGCCAATGCACTTCCGGCTCCACCGGATCTCCCAACCTTGATCAAAGAGCACTTGCAGAGCTTGCCAAGTGACCTAAAGGAGGCAGTAGAAAAGCTGGTCGAGCCCGACAAACCGGAACCCACCTTGGCTACAAAGCTCAAACAGTCGGTCGGGCATCTCAAGCAGCTCCGAGAAGAAGGCAGTACTTCAACAGAAGGCGGATGCAGTGAAAGCCCAATACACGGCACTGCTACAAGAATTGAAGGACACGCAGAACAAGATCGAACAGGCCCAAAAAGACCTTCAGGATACCACCACCTTGTACAATCAGCAGATTGAGAAGGAGAAGAACGAAGCTGCAGAAGAAGAGAATGATTTTACGTTAGCGCCGGAAAAGCTGATGACCATCTTGGCCAAAGTTGGCGTACAGGCCACAGCCGAACAGGTCACAGACTTTGCACGGCAGACTGAGGAAACTGCAGCAAAAAGAAGGAAGTGTGGGTGACCAATGTGAGAACGAGATGGCAACAGGGGTTGACACATGTCAGACACAGGCCAGTCATCTAGGGGAACATGATGATCCTTGGTCTATGGATGGGCATGTGCACTTCGGCTCAGAGCAGCAGGGTTTTCCACAGGCAAACAGAGCCTGTGGCATTGGGGCGCCAGCGAATGCACAGCTGGCTTTGATGGAACAGCATTTTGCTGTCCCAAGATTTTGTGGGGGAGCGGGACACATGGACGAAACTATGGAACCTGCTCAAGAAGAAGACGATCCCCAGCCAGTGGTCACACCCACAATGGCTGCGCAATCACCTTTGGACTATGTGGTCCAAAACCTTCAATGCCGCACTGGGAACTACAGGAACCGGTGCTTTGCCAACGCCCCTTTCCGCTTATGGTCATGGGCAGGCAGCTTCATGGGTGGTCCGCAGCTTTGGAACAAGACCGGAGCCGCGGTCCATGCAGCGCTACAAGATGAGGGAGTGGTGAACATCACTTCCTTGCCAACTTTGAGGACCTTATGGCAGCAATTCGATGATCAGGCGCAAGATGATGCATCCCACTTTCTCATGGCCTTGGCTCACCTGGCAGAGTCACCCCGCATCATCCCGGGGTACTACCATGTCGACCACAGGCAGCAAGTTCACAGAAGAAAGTCTTTTCCCATTCACCTCATCTCACCTGGCCATCAACCTGATCAGGAGCTCGAACAGTGGATAGCAGAATGGGCAAACCTAGGAGAAGGACAAGTAGCTGATGGCAGAGGCCTTTGGGTAGGCCAAATCGGAAGATATGATCTTTGTGACGGGGAGTGGACCAAACACCATCAGATTTTGAATGTGCCTACGATCTTCAACATCCCCTACACGGAGGATGGGAACGTGACCAAGACAGAGCAATACTCTGTGGTAGGGTTGCTTTGTCATTCAGGGAACCCGCGCAAACATGGTCACTATTTCGCCATCTTTGTCTACAGGGGAGTCTACTGGTTGGTTGATGACACCGGAACTCTTGCCACAAGATATCCAATGTGAATTTCCGAGTGGACAGAAGATTGAAGAGTCCACACCACCAGCCAAGAGGAGATGCCTCACCGGTGTCAGCTTTGCATTTGCCAATGTCACCAGCCTGGGCCAACAGGTCCGCCAATGGCTACTGACAAGACCCCGCACACCTATGTTCATGGTGGAAACACACCTAGCCCACGAGGACTACCAGAAGATCAATCAATGGCTGATGGCCAGAGGCTTTGGAGTTTTAGGAAGCCCAGCAGCAGAAAGCAGCAAGGGAGGCACCCATGGAGGACACCTCATGATTTACCCGGCCCACATGCACTTCCACTTTGTGCACAAGCAGATCATTGAAGGCTGTGGATGGTACGCGGTGCAGTGGACCTTTGACGATGCTGAAATCCTCATGATCACGGCCTATTTCCGGACAGGAGAAGGCCCGCAAGGGCATACCAATGCACAGCTATGGGCAGGGCTGCTTTCTTTTGTCACCAGTGTGGTGAAGCCGGTCATCATCCTTGGGGACTTCAACGTCTCACCGGAGGAGTTCATGACGACCACAATGAGCACCATCATGCAGGTGCAAGTCCTGGCCACAGGAGCTGACTATGGCAAGCACATGCCAACTTCTATGACAGGATCAGTCTCGACAAGCCATGCCCCCGGTGGCTGGATTCAGACTATCCCAAGACACATGCTGCGCTAGCCATGCAGTTGTACCTTGGTGGACGAATCCTAGAAGCTGAAGGGGAGGCGTCAAATCAACTGTGGACACAGAATGGCATCCTAGCAGGTGATCCTCAGGCGCCTTTAGCGGCCAAGATTTACTTGTATGAAGCCCTGAAAGCCTTCCACAAGAAATACCCACAGCTGCATACGGACCTCTGGATTGATGGCTTGAGCTTTGATGTGGTGCATCGAGATCCAGTCCAAGCTGTACGAATTGCCCTACAAGCCTATGAACACATTAGGCAGTTGTTTGAAGCTGACAACCTCAAAATCTCTGCCAAGAAGACTGGCTTCATCGCCTCAAACAGCACGGCCGAGAGGCTTCTACAACAGCAACTCCCACCTGAGGGACCTGGAGTACATGATGTGATGCGTGACCTCGGAGTTGACTGCACAGCGGGAAGGCTCAGGAGGATTCAAACTCTCCGGGCAGACGCAGCAAGGGCCTCCAGGAAAACCAAGAAACTGGCCACCCTCAAGATCCCGCTCAGAAGCATCAGACTGAAACTCTACAAGGGCAGCATTGTAGCAGGCATCAGCTGGGGCCACGAGGCCATGGGACTAGCTCCACAAGTTCGACGCCGGCTGAAAGCAGTCATGGGCCGCCAAATTGGACTACAACGTACAGGGAACATCGACATCCCGTATGACATGCACAGCAAGCACCAAGATCCAGACTATGGATCATTCATGTCCCAAGTCCGCATCTACCGGCGCTTCTTTGGAAATTGGCGTGAAGCCACCCACAAATCCTTGGAGAGGGCATGGCAGGCCATCCGTGATAGGTTCATGCAGGCAAAACATCCATGGCAAGTGGCCAAAGGACCTGTTGCAGCCCTGATCTGTCACCTCCTGGAAAGGCATTGGGACTGCTCAAACTATGGGGTTTGGACTAAACCAGGACACAATGGCAGCAGGGATTTTCTGCCTTGACATGAAGGAGGACTGGTTTGCCTTGCGGGAAGAGCTCAAACGAGCAGAGAGATGGGAGAGAATTGAAAAAATCAACAAACGACAGATGCTTGGGGAGGTTCAGTACACGTTAGACTGGAGACCTTGGCAGCAAATGAACAAAACGCTCAACTCCAGAAACAGTGCGGCACTGGCCACATGGCATCAAGGGGCTTTGTTCACCAAGATCTCTGACAATGAAGACGACAAGCACCTGCAATGCCCACACTGTGGCCAGAAGGCAACTCTCCTGCACCTTCTTTGGTTGTGCAAGGAGACAAACAAGGAGTTTCCCCCGCTTGACGCAAAGGACCAGTTTGAGTTGGACCACGGGATCAACCTC